GCCCTCCGCTTCCCTCACCCAGCGTCTCCTCTGGACCACTCCACAGATTCCTACCAAGTTGAATCCTTTTGTCCTTTGTTTACTCCACTTCTTTCAACTTTGACCAATCCATACTAGGCTCCTCCCATTTCTACCACCGCCATAAGGTTCTTCCCAAAACTGAGTGACTTTATCCTCCTTCTACTCCACTGCCTTCTGCTTTGACCAATCCAAACTCAGCCCCTCCCAGACTCAGCCTGGAAATGGAGACAAAACATTTTCATTCTGTTTTTCTCTCTCGCTTCTCATCCTGCTCAGATTTCTAGTTCAAAGAAAGTTTTCTGCAATTAAAATACCACTCTCTTCCCTTTTTCAACCCTGACCTGCAAATAAAACATCACCTCCCAGCAGCACCCCAGAAAAAAACACAAAGGCAAATCTACCAAGTCCCTGCTCCCTCTCTCTCTCGCCTCACACCTGCTTGTCTTCTCAAACAGCCCTGTTAGCTCAAGCAGCCCCTCCTCTGTCTTGCTCGGGGAAGTTGTCAAGGCAGAGGATATTATCAAAGTAAAGAGTGTGTTCTCAATGTCACCCAGAAGCATGCAGACCAAGTGAATGTAACAGATGCCAGTTGACCCCCCAAGCTGCCCCCCAGCAAGAGCCTGCATTGAACATACCAAATTAATACAGTGGCAGGAAGAGACAGTGGAGCTACTCATGACTATATAATTCAGTGTCTGTTAACCAGTCTACATGCCATTTCCCATAAGACAGTCCATTTTAACAAACTCTGGGAAATTACCCAAGCTAGAAATGAGAACCTAGCTGCTTTCCTTAACCATATCACTAAAGCCCTGACTCAGTATACCTGCCTAGATCCTACCTTCCCAGTAGGAGCCAAAGTCCTAAGTACTCATTTTATCACCCAATCAGCCTCTGACATCAAGAAGAAACTAAAAAAGATTGATGACAGTGCCGAAACACCCATTCAAGACCTGGTAAACATGGTCTTTAAAGTTTGAATGTCTGAGAGGAACAGACAGAATCCAATAAAAACACTCATGACAGAAAGCGAATCTGCAAGTCCAAGCCCTGATAAATGACTTGCAGCAGCGGTCAAAAGTTAGAAAACACCTGCTTATACAAACAGCCAGTTACCTCCTGGTTCATGCTTTAAGTATGGCAAAGAGGGCCACTGGGCTAACCACTGCCCTAACTCTCACCCTCCGACACACCCTTGCTCTATCTGTGGGACACTGGGCCATTAGAAGGCCAACTACCCTTCAGCACCCAGCCATGGTATTGTGGCCCCTTCACCGAAACCAGTCCCCATCTTGGCTAATCTCTTAGATCTAGCCACTGTAGATTGAAGATGCCCAAGTTTGAAGACCCTATCACCCTTGTTGAGCTTACAATAACCCTTCACATAGCAGGTAAGCTAGTTTCCTTTCTAGTTGACATGGGGGCTACCTTTCCAATACTCTCTTCCTTCTCGGGTCCTGTTTTTACTTCCAAGGTCTCAGTAATGGGGATTGATGGCCTTCCCTCCAAACCTCTTACCACTGAACCTTTCTTCATTACCCTCGACAAACAAATACTCACCCATTTCTTTCTAATTATCCTTACATGCCCAATTCTGAAGCTAGGCAGGGACCTCCTGTCTAAACTTGGAGCTGTGTTTCACTAGGAGTCAAGCCAAACTGATCAGCCTTTAGCTCTACCCCTCTTAGCACTCCTTCCCTTGAGCCCCTTTCTATACTACCTTTATCATAAGACATTGTCAACCCCGTTGTATGGGATCTTTCCATCCCATCTGTAGCCTCTCACTACCAACCTGTTCTTGTTAAGTCTGAAGAAACCCTCCTCTTTTCCTGTTAGACCCCAATTCCCTATCTCTCTACAACACCACAGAAATTTAAAACCCATTATTATTAGCCTACTTTCCAATAAGCTTCTTATCCCCTAGTGTTCTCTTGCAATAAGTTAATGATATTTTATTGTGTAGACCCTCATATCAACTTTCACAAACTCATACTGCTCAACTTCTTAACTTCTTGGCCTCCAAGAGATACAAAGTATCCCCTCCAAGGCCCAATTGTCTCAACCCACAGTCAATTACCTTGGTTTTCAATTGACCCCCACCACTAGAAGTTTAACGGTCAAGTGGCGTCAAGTCATTGAAAGACTCTAGCTACCCCAAACTGCTGATCAAATCCTCTTTTCTCAACCTTATTTGTTTCCTTAGACACTGGATTCCCAATTTTTCTTTACTTGTAAAGTCCCTTTATGACGCCCCATTCATCATCCTTTCTGAGCCCCTTCAAACTAATGTATGGCCAACCATTTCTGCTGAACCATATCCTATACACTGAACCCCCATTTTTAGCATCATACCATATCTCTTTCTCCTTAAATAATTACTCTGGAAACACGCAGACAGCTACATACACAGATCCTCGTCTGAAAGTCTAGACCAAACCACTGAAGTTGCTCCAGGAGATGCCATTCTCATCAGGCAGTATGTGCCCAAGCCTCTCCAAGCATGCTAAGACAGACCTTGTACTGTCATCTTAACTACCCTGTACCCTGTACAGTCATCTTAACTAACCCAACAGCACCACCTTTCTCAAGTCAAACATGCTCCACTCACTAAGCAAGTTTCCCACTCCTCTCAGTTGGTGGGTCCCACTACACTCAGTTCACTCAGCACCCATGCCCTAGAGAAAACTTCTACACAGCCATCTACTCCAACCACACACCTCATTGACTCATCAGACAGCCTTTGACAAGGATTCCAGGCAGCAATCACCATTTCAGTGTCAACTAAGGCAGTTTCATCCTTCAGACGACCCTTTGCCTGCTTCCTATATGACCAAGTCCACTCATACTGTCAACAGTAGCCAGAGACATATAGAAGTTGTCCATATTGGTCACACAATATTCATGATGTTGATAATATCCAAGTTTTTTATTGAACAAGAAACTTCTACCTTCTTATCTCACACCCCTAAAATGCCAGGTGGCAGGCTGAAGTTAAAGGAAAACTATACCTTACTGGATATAGTTCCTTGCCTTCTAGCACAATACACATAAGCAGAGAATATGTTCTAGATGCTAACACCCTAGTACAGATCTCTGATAACATTCTCCAAGCTGAGCAGACAATGATAGAACAACTCTCTAAAAGGTTACAAACTATGCAGCCCCAAACCTGAGTCCAAATTATCCAGAGCACTTTATTATTTCTTAACCAAAGTCAGATGGTGACCAACCATTCTCATTGTTTCCTGTGTGCCTCTTTACAATCACCTTTGCTAGCAGAAGTACTAATCAATTTCTCTAGACCACACTCCACCAAAACACCTTAAGCTATTTCATCAGGCCAAATTAAGAGCTTCACCATTTTGGGACAAATTGTACTCTGGTAATCAGAGCCTAATAAGCAGACTAAGCCCTCTGGAATCTCCTACATAACTTCCTTGTTTATACCCTCTGCAAAGGAATATGGGAACTACACGCAATGTTAGCGTAAACAAGCACACTGTAGCTAAACCAAGACAACACTTCTAGTGTAATGAGACTTTCTACAGAATTCCACCACAAAAAGGCCCTGTTTCTCTGTAACAGTTGAACCCCAGCTCACCTTGTATAGTGAATCTGAATTAACCTGGCTCCTCTCTGCTCTCTGAATTAAGAGACTGGCATTTCTCCCAATCATGGTTTGATTCAGTCTAGCCTCCTTCCGACATCAGCTGACACTGCTGGCATCAGTCGCTATTCTAAGTTAAAAAACTTGAGATCTCCTGACTGCCAAGAAAGGGGGCACCTGTCTATTCCTAAAAGAGGGATGTTGTTACTATATAAATGAATCAGGACTAGTAAAACGACAAGCCTTCTCCTAAATTGGCTCAAAAATCCATTTCTAACCTAAGTTTTTCCTTTTAATCATAAGCATATTGGTATCAATTGCTCCATATTTCTTTATTCACAGGATAAAGGAGATGACCAACTTAATTCTCCCTGCCACTGATCCCAGACCAACTCGCTCTGGTCTCTGAGCCCCCAGATCTTCGCCCCTGTTTGACAGGAAGTAGCTAAAATAGAGATACTGTTGCCCTGTTTTATCACTACAGAGGCTGGGATGTTAGGTCCAGCCAGGGGGACCAGGGGAGAGAATGAAGAATTCAAAGAATACACACATTGACAAGAAAAGTAAATGGCCCTGACCATCTGGCCAAACTAATGATGAACTATAAATCATAACAGAATGTCCCTCCCTAAGCACCCTGTTATAAAAACCCTCCCCAATAAGCCCAAAGCATGACTTCCTCAGACTGCATTTTCAGAATGAGGAAACTTGCCTGGGACACCCCTCCCCCCAATAAAGCTGCTTTTAAGCTTTCTCTCTTGTTCTCTCTGATTTCTTTCTTAAGTCTGCTAACCTAACAATTGTTTACCTCAAAGTTTTCAAGAAGGGCAGGGAAAATGGGGACAGGAATAATTTGCAGACCATCTCAAGCAGCTGGTTTTCTCTGACATACAGAGTAGGTAGGAATCAACTGATTAAAATGTTATATACTCCAGTAGTCTCTACAGTAAGTCACTGCAATCTTATTAAAGTACTTAAACAAAATAAAAGCTAATATGTATTTGGATGAGGTATGAATGAGCAGCAAATACTTTTTTTTTCCTATTAAAAAAGGGTCCCTTATGGTCTGGTGGTTAAAATGCTTGATTGTGAACATCAGATCAACAATTTTAATTTACCAGCTGCCATGTGGGAGAAAGACAAGGTAATCTGCTTCTGTGAAGATGTAGAGCCTTAGAAATGCTATGCAACTGTTTCAGTCTGTCTTATAAAATTGCTAAGAGTCAGACTTGACTCAATGTTTATAGAAATGACAAAAGCACAAAAATATCACATAGTATATTTTAAATAAAATATAATTTTGCCAACAAATAGTAAGATCCATATTAAATATTTTTCTAAACAAATTATCACTAAAAAATATAAAACTTACTTGGTTCTAGTTTCTTCAGATCCTCCAGTTTAAACTCTTTTTGTGACTGTGTGGACTAAATTTAAAACACACACATATTAAATATTTTTATTACAGATTTGACAGTATTTACCTATAAATATCCTATGTTTTTAATAGCAAGAAGCAAACACTTGGAAAATAGCCAGAATAAAAGAATCTATTTAATTTTTCAAAATGAAAAATCACAAAGTGTCTTTGATACTCTTGGAAACATGTAGGCTAAAATAAACAAACAAAAGCTTTCAGTTATATATTTCATTTCCACAGTTTGCAAAATATCAACTAAATCTGAGAAGTATTAGTTTAACTGATGAATTCCATTCTTATAAAATTCTTCTCAGATAATAGTTTTGTAAGGCATGTCAAATACTCAGAATAATTTCCTTTTCTTTTACTGCGAAAAGGGAAAATTCACACCAGGTTACCTGTAAAGTGGCACTTCGTAATTCCAAGCATGTTGCAATTTTGCCTATGGTTTTCTGTAGGAAAAGAAGTAAATCATAACTATCATAACTATTAGTTGTCAAATGTCTTCAAGTTGTTTTATTTCTAAGAGATCTACAATTCTTTTAAATAAGTTAAAGTTATTGTATTTTTCCTAGCATCTTGCAGGTAAAAGATTAACAAGAAGTAAAAGTAAAGAGAGGAAGTAAAAGCATATTTTCTCCAAAATTAACTTTCCTTGACTAGATATAAATCAAGTTTGGTTTGCCAATATGTTCAGATATGATAAAGGGACTTTTGGAACCCTTTAAAAGATGTTCCTTCCCTTTTTCTCCATGTTATTGCTGCTGTTGGAAATCATAGCTGATCTTCCAGCAAGTTTCAGAGGCAGTAAATTGTAAGGCTAATGCAGAGCATATAGTGTATTCAAAAGCATGCCTTTGGGCTGGAAGAGCAACTCCTTACCATTAGGTCATCAGCGCTCCCTTAAAAAGGTTTATCTTGAAGATAACATTCTTTTAAAAACTATCAACTGACAATGTTCCTGTTATTATGTTTTGTCAAGAAGGAACAGACTCATAACTGACCCACCAGTGGGCTTTCAAGGGCTGTACATTAAATGTAATGAGTCTGTCCAACTTTTTCCCTGAGGACATAACCCTCTTGCATTTGGATTGATTAAGCCATCAGACTTGAACTTAATTAAGATTCTTAAAAATTATAATGACTGAAAGTTAACACAATGCTAGAAGTTAATTATGGCTTATGCTTAATCTTGATTTATTCAGTTAAAAATACTTAAAATATTAAGCAAACTCACTATTTATGGTATAAATGGTGGCAAATGTAAAAGATCACTTTTATATACTACAAAAACCATAAAGCAGATACAAATTATAGGGAATAGTCCTTGCCATTAATAAGGTGATATTTTTTTCATATAAGAAAAGCAGAGAACTCATTCCACTACGATATGTCCTAAAGAAACAGATGGTTGTTGTTGTTATGTGCCCTCGAGTCGCTTGTGAATCATAGCGACCCATGTACAACAGCCCTAAACTCTGCTCTATCACAGGATAGACTGTGCCCATCACACTGCCTCTGACACTCCCATCCCGATTATCCCAGTCACTGAATCAACGCACCTCACAGAGGGCCTTCCCCTCCTGCGCTATTCCTCCACCCTCCCAAGCATGATATCCTTCTCCAAGGACCGGGTCTCTCCTCACATGTCCAAAGTATCTTAGACAGAGCCTCAGAATTCTTGCCTCCAAGGAGCCACCTGGTTTAACCCTTTCCAGGACAAATCTGTTTGTTTTCCTAGCACTCCATGGTATTCTCCATACTCTTCTCCAGCACCACAGCTCAAAGGCATCAATTCTTCTATCCTCCTTGGTCATTGTCCA